TGTGTGTGTGTGTGTGTGTGTGTGTGTGTGTGTGTGTGTGTGTGTGTTTTGAGACAGGGTTTCTCTGTTTAACAGCGCTTGCTGTCCTAGAACTTGCTTTATTTATAGATCAGGCTGGCCTCAAACTCAGAGATCGCCTGCCTCTGCCTCACAAGTGCTGGGATTAAAGGTGTACGGCACCATGCCTCGATAATAGCTATATTCTTACGTGTGCATGTGTACATATGTGTATGTGTGTGTGTGTGTGGGGGGGAGGATTGGGAAGTTCCTTAAACCAGAAAGGAAACCACTCAAAATAGCTTCCGGAAGTCTATCAGATTTGCTAGACCTCTCCCTCCCAAGGGTAAACCATAAGAAACTGCTCAGCGTCATTCTCAGGCAGGCCAAGGAGCAAAGAAGACACTGAGACCAGATCAGCTGTTTGGAAGAAGAGACAAGCTCAACTGCCTGGAAGAGGTTTAGTCCAACTGAGTCATTTGAAAAGGAATCTCTCTATTCTGTTGAGGGACCTGTAGGCTGCACAGCTGCTCCAGGTTCCCAGCTTTTGTAAGGTGTCTCCTATGCTGAGGTGGGCTTTGGTGATGCAGCTGTCTCTGATGCTCCTGTAAGCTACTCTTCACCGATCACAAAGTTGGTCTCTGATGGTATCCATACTTTACTATCGTGAGCTTCTTATCTGGTATGAATAGGCACAGGGTTTCCTCAAAACAAGTTTAGTCACATAACACTTAGCACCTTGTTTTTTGAGACAGGGTCTCTCTGTAAGCTCAACACTTATACACTGTGAGGCTAGCTGGCCAACAAGCTCCAGAATCCTGTTTCCAACCCTGTACCCACAGCTTTAGGGTAAGAGACTAACTAATGTGGGTGCTGGGGATGTAAACTCCGGTCTTTCATACTTGTGTGTTAGGCACTTCAATTAAGGCAGCACCAGGCCGTTAGCATCTAGGTCCTCAAGCACTGACTGACATCCAGTGAACTATATACACAGTAATTACAATATATACATGGTAATTACAAACCACAAAGGCAGAGTCACAAGAATGAGAAATCTCTATAATTTAAAATGTACACAGTACATTTTGAATGTGTAAGAGACCCAAATGTACTATAAAAAGTATAAATGCAAGTAACTATAATGGATCATTTAATCTGAGACTATGTATGCTGTAATATGCATTAAAGTATAATTGAGTATATTGTTTCTTTAGAGTTTAAATAATTTATAATGCTTCACAAGGCTGCTTTGGAGTATTAAGTTCTTTAAAAAAAAGCTAACCAAGGAAATCTGCGCTGATGCCTAGTCTTTCAAAACTAAATTGTTCTAGTGCAAACAAAAGTCGGTGATTTTACCAGTGCTTTCACAACATGATACAATGAGCAAGCACTAGTTTATATAAGGATATTTGTTAATTGCTGTTGTTGGTAACGTATGAAGGTGGAAATGCATGATGGGATGCTGGTTTGCCCACTGAAAACACATTATATTAAAGCCAAAAGCTAATGTTTCTCTTCTTGTTTTCTTCCTCTTAATTAAATTTTTAAAAATTAATTAAGTAATTTCTTTTGTTTTGGAGACAGGGCCTTACCATGTCACTCTGTTTGGCCTCTGCCTCCCAAGAGCTGGGACTAAAAAAGCATATGCATGGCTGGCTCCATCTCTTAACTTTGTTTAATTCACTGTCAAATGAAGCCCAGGCCAGAAGAAAGTAAGTATAATTCCATTCTACTGAATGAACTTTACAGAAGCTTTTCCAAATAATTGCTAATTTAGACAAAGTTAACTAACCTCAACATGGGTTTGACTGTTTTCTACAATAAGGAAGTGCTCAATGACATGGATGGGTGTGGGGATTAAGTAGGCAACATGAGAGGTCATGCAAGGCCCAGCACCAAAGCCTAACACCCAGCAGTGCACAGGACAGAAATGCACAGAGCACACACATCACAGGAGTCAGTTCTGCTGGTTCCTAAGAAGAGCTAAGCCCACAGTGGGAGGGTCTACATCTCTGTCAGGGTACCACCCGGAAGGAGGCTGTAAACACGGTGGAACTAGACCAAGTGAAAATGGAGCGTGAGCTGGGCTTTGCAGGTTAAGTCTTTTGAGATGGGGAGGGACAGAAAGGATGTTAGACAAGCGCTGCTAAGTATTCTGGGTTTCTTGAGATATTCTTACTCTTTGCAGAGGCTGGCCTGGAGCTCACTATGTAGCCCCAGACACTCCAATCCCCTCCTCTCAACTTCTCAAGTGTGGGCTGCAGGCATGAGCTGCACCGGAGGGTCTTTGATGTCGCTGAGGGGTGGGGGGTGGGATGCACCGTCTTTCCATTCAATGTGCTGTTCTTTTGAGCCCAGGCATCTGTAGATTTTCTCTTTTCCTACACTGGGAATTGAACCCAGAGTCTTACACACGCTATGCAAGCATCCTTCTATGACCTGTGCCCCAGACCCCATGTTACTATCTTTACATAGTAATTCTGAGGCGGTGGAAGTAGCATGGTGGTGGGTTACTCATCTGGTATGCATGAGGCTCTGGATTCAACCCCCAGTACCACACACACACACACACACACATGGCATTAAAACAAAGCTTATAAGCAATTAAATCAGTTTTAATTACTCTTGCTGCTATTTATTGCTTAATTTTATCTTTCATTTATCCCCAATCTTTAACAGAACTATAATCTTAAATTCTTAACAATAGGTGGCTGGCTTAAGTAGAAAACAAAGTTTTATGGTGACTAGATTTGGGTGATTAAGGTTAACATAATGACTAACACAAAAATAATAAAGAGTCTAAAATGGGGCTGGAGAGATGGCCCAGAGGTTAAGAGCACTGGCTGCTCTTCTAGAGGTTCTGAGCTCAATTCCCAGCAACCACATGATGGCTCACAACCATCTATAATGAGACCTGGTGCCCTCTTCTGGCCTGCAGGTATACATGTAGGCAGAACACTATATACATAATAAACAAACAAATCTGTCTTTAAAAAAAAAAAAAGAGTCTAAGATGATGATGACGACTTTGCTTGGGTACAATGGAGTTCAGGTTGCCAGGAAGCCAAGTAACAATAAAGGTGCCTGGTAGAGAGAACAGACATCCATTGCAGGCTCATTTTCATTACATCTAAATTTTGAGATCATACATTGTCAAGTCCTTGACAAAATAATTATAGAGGAAGGCTATGTCCCAAACCAGTGCTAAAGGTGTTCTGAAACAGCACATTTATGAGAACATGAGGCAACAGTAGCCCAGTGCAGACAAAACAACAAGAGCCAAAGACAGAAAACCAGCCATATAATGTCACACAGAATGCGAGAAGACAGCCTCAGGGCCAGCCTGCCCAGGTGTCAGGGTTCATTGTGGTAAGAACAGCCACTGACTCAAGCCACTGGGTCTGCTAGGGCACAGGTCATAAGCATGGGTCTTCTCAGAGACAGTTTTGACAGAGAAATGGATTTCTGGGTGAGACTATAACAAATTACGGTGAATGAACATTCAGGGTATCCTAGAAGTAGAGAAACAATGTGGGGGATGAACATGGGACATGGATGCTAAAGATGGGGTATGAACACAAGTGGTACAGAAAAGGTTACAAATCGTTTAAAGACTCAAGGATAGCTCACTGATGTAAACTTTGTGACTGCAAAATTGGAATGTTGCAGATCCAAAGCCAAAAATTATTGTGAGCTCTTTAGTCCCCTTAACAGTCACCTGTTATCTGCATCTGTGTCTCACCTCCCATCCTTTACAACATCAGCTAAAATCAAGCATAGACACTAATTCTACCAACCTAGAAGGGAAGAATGCTATTCAGTAACATCTAAAAACCCACAGCAGAGTCTAGCTACCTTGGTTATGGCCATTCCTTTTAGCTCAGAATAAAGCCCCCTATTCACTTTAAGGTGAGAGCTCTATTCTGCATCAACAGCGTTGGTTCTAAACCACAAGGCCTCCTGGAGGATTGACTTTCACCAGAGGGAT